CCTAACCTAACCTAGCCTTTGCGTTTCGGGGGAACCTAACCTAACATAACCTAACCTAACCTAACCTGACCTACCAGAGCGTTGTAGGTTTGAATACTTCACATCCTACAGCCGTTTGAAACCCCACCAGCATTTTTGATGCACCCTGTATAATATTATTTATTATATTCGTTGTGTAATATTATAATACTATATTATGTTATAAGCCCTCCGATTGTACGGTGAACAAACAAATACTGTGCACAGATCGGATTGTTTTTCTTAGATAACGGGCCACTAGACAAACACTAGCATCGCTTTTTTTTTTTTTTTTTAAAGATAAAATTACATTGCAGTCGACGACGACGGTGCTAACAACACCCGCATGTACAATAATAATTATAGAGCCAAAATCGTCCGGGTCTAATTATGATTAAAATGAGTGTATGTTTTATTATAAGCCATCTTATGAGAACCGAGAAGGGAGGAACACCTTCTTGTCTGCTACCAAAACCGAGCCTAACGTTAGATATACCGGACAACATTTTTGAAGCTCTTAGCCCATCTAATGTATTCTTCAAGATTGATTAATATTATGTATAATTCCATTAAAACTCAGCTCCGCATCTAAGCGAATAAAACGAGAATGATTTCTTTGATCATTTAAATGTTTAATACAAGTATGATGCATTTCTATTTTTATTACGTTTTTAGTCTACAAACATCTCTCGAGTTCGTTATTAATTTAAAAGCTGTTATTGATTCAAAGTGAAAGTTTTAATACAGTTTACAGTTCTTTATGAATTTTCAGATGTAATACTTAAGGTCGATACATTATTTACCCCGAATAAACGTTAGAATTACTCATAATATAATATTCCTGAACGACACTATACATATTATATTACTTTTAATAATTAATATTGGACAAAATTCTATTTATACCGAAATCGACTACACTTCAAACACGACAACTACATTTTTTATAAGGTTTTAATGCCTGCAACGTACATAAACTCTGTACAAAAATGTTAACATCGAAGATTGTATAAGATTTAAGATAACCGACGTAGGTATATATTTTTTTGTTATTTAAATATATTATAACGTTTGTACTTTCATTTATCAACAATCAAGTAACAGATAAACGAATTGTTTAAAAACAGTTTCAACATTAAAAGTGCCCAAATCGACAGCAGCGTAGAAGAGGAACAATGACAAGCGCAACAAAGAGGTTTGCAAAACGCCGAGCCATTACTGTAGTCCCGAGGAAACTCAAGGACTTTGGTTATTATACTGTTTCTAGAAAGGAAGACGAGCGCCGGTTAAACAAGAAAGAAACACAAGGTATAAATCGAACCTAGGGGAATTCGGTATTGTTACTTTCGCAAGCTCTGAAAGGGTTGGCCTTGTCCGGGGTTCGTATAACCGGGTCCGTGGGAGTTTATAAGAGATATCCTCCACTCGGATACATGCAAACGGTTGATGACCTAATCCACGGTTTACTTAAGGAGTAATCAGACTACACCCAAACAATAGCTTGTAAAACACAAAACTGCAATAACGTTTGAATGTATACATGCAATTCGTGTACACTATTTTATCCGTTCCGACTGCTTTGTTTATGTCTAAAACACTAAACACTAGGTTTGAAAATAAGTATACTCTACGACGGTTTCATTATTAATTCATATTGTTATGTAATTAAACTAAATAAATATAGATATCGGTAAATAATAAACATTTTAGATATCAATTTATTCCAACATTAAAATATTATGTTTCAATACAAGGTTAAACGCTAATTTCATACAAAAAAAAATACCCAGCGGCCGTCGCGCAGTTATGAAATTGAAATATGATTGATTGTTCTATAATAACTTTACACATATATTTGTATATAAAACTATTGGTAAAGCTGGTCAATAAAATACTTTTGAGTGGAACAATAATACCATTCGCTAGCTATTTAATTAAATTTAATACATTCGAATCATAATTATTGGTGAGACATATAGTAAAGCATACATATGTGAGAAAACCCTCTATGTAGCATTTTATATTTAAATGTAATAATTTGTATTGTCTTATGAACGAAGCTAGGTGGCTAACCATTTGTTGTCAAAAAATAAAATACATTCAGCCGGTTTCACCAACTATTGTTAAATACACTCTTAACACAATGTTAGTTAACAATTCGTTTAAATTTAACATCTGGTTAAATGAAATAAGTTTCACCATAACATTATTATTGTTAAATTCTGTTTGTTAAGTTAACAAAACGTTAGTTGGGTTACCAATGCGGTTACCACCTCGATTCCAACGTTATCATTGGTTATTAAGATAATATGTGATAACTGATAAGTGATTGTATTATTTAATTTGTCTGTTTGTTATTATTTGGCATTTAATTTTACTTTCTTTTAACTTTTCAGTTTGTATAAATAATGTATATATAATTGTTTAACACATTGTTTAGATAGTCTATACCTTTCTAGAAATTGTTGGTCATTAAAATGTTCTATTTTGAAGGCCTAAAAAAAAGTAGGTAGTGATAAGAATTATTTCCATTGTTACATTCAGGACAGGCAAGACATAATAATAGTATTTAAATTACAAAATACAATAAATTATGATAGTTGAACCTATAATGCAAGTCTGTGCCGTTGCTTTTTACCTAATCTACCTACATAAAATAACTTCTGCTTACCTAATAAAGAGTTATCGAAGTTGTCATTTCTATTGTTTCCCTATAAACTCAATATAAAGAAATTCCTCATCTAATGTGTAATTCATTATTATATATTATTACTAGTATACTCAGTCAACAAAAATTATAAAACAATTTCTGAACTATAATAATATAAATATTATGTATATGTACTACATTTTTAACATGCCGATTTCGGGTGATTAATTTAACAATGGGTTAAGGCTAACAAATCTTGATGAAACCCAATTTTCACTGACTAGTTGTTAAATATAATTAACAATAAGTTAAATTCTTAACAAATGTTTGTAAAACCGGCTGGTTATAATTTATTTTAGTTTTTTTTTAAATTGTCCGTTACAGGTGTACTGGCTGTAAATTGCAGGATCCAAAATATAATTTATGAACGTTTTGTCGACTCATAAAATATGTATTATGTTATTATAAAGGTAAAATGTTTATTTTAGTATTAAATTATGTAAAACAATATTTGACTAAACGGTCTAGTACTATAAGAGGAGAGTGAAAACTATAACAACACTTGTTGTATGTTTTGATTGGTAAACCCCAAGTGAAATGCGACATTGTTGATGTTTACAGTTTTACCATTAACAGCCACCTATGGGGAATGAATATATTATTTCAACACACATCGACTAAATTACAACGTAAAAAGTGTATACTTTACAATCATAAAAAATATAACAAAACTAATAAATATTTATAATAATTCGACACAATTCTCGAGCACACGTTTTCAATTAGTATTTTAATGAATAATGGTGTTTACGATTAATCTCTGCGAATAACCATAAATTATCTCAATTGTATTAAAATCACAGATAATGGACGTTTGGTTCTTATAAATGATTACAACAACTTATGTGAAATAGTTTTATGCTACTAAACAAATTGTTATCTATCTAATTCGTGATGAAATATTGAGGTCGATTTTTGAAAAAAAATAAAAAAATACTTTCACCAAGAGTGCCAAAAACGTACCAATGTAATTTTTCAAAAACATTTTCTTCTAGTGTTTACAATTTTTCAAGTTGTACCGAAAAAATACTACTTATAAATCAGAAGAAATCAGTATACAAAATAAATAATATGGTATTGAAATACACCAAATCTTACATTTAATCACTCGAGGCCAAATAAATGTTATCTAAGTATATTATTATACGTTAAAAGAGAAACACCCATCCATTCAATCAGCACTCATACACTTTAAGGTAGTAAAACCGTATTATACAATACAGATGCACCTAAAAGTGTAATAATAGAATAGCACTGGTAATAATTAAGACGATGGAAAATTGAAGAGCAGACAAAACCATATGGCCAGTTTTTATTTCCTTTCTGAGCATACTTACTAACAAAATGTTGATATGAATTATAATCTATTATTATGTTCATCGTTAACCCAATAAAAATGGGTGAACAAACGACACTTAGAGTTTTCAAGTTTATTTGTAAGTCGATATTGGTTTATTTATAATTTATATAAGTGTGTACAAAGTAATGTAACCATGTAATGTGATCCGTTTAACGTTAGACACTCGTTTTCCGGGTAAGTAATTACAATTTTATATTTATTTTTAATTTTTAAAACACATTTGTTCGTGTTAATATACAATAATAAAAAAAAAAATTATTACAAATTTAGGACACCAAGTGGATTGCGGTTGAGTAATGTCGAGTAAATTTAATAACATTAAAAGCAAAACCATATTAAAAACTGGCCTAACCGACCAGTCGACATTTTTAGCAAATTATTGCTCTTTTAAAAACATGGATCACCCGGTACAACATTACAAATTAATATACACTACCTTCATGTATGTGCGTGTTAATAACAATTTAAAATTAAATAAACAACAATTATTACAGTTTAGATAGCGTTGTAAATGGAAACGCTACAATTTTCGGTTATAAAATATGCTAATTAATTGTATGCATTAGTTTCGACGATAGCACAAATGGAGTGCTCTAACTTTTATTGACAAAATCGCATTGGCTGGAAACTTTATCGTGCCTAACTAAAGACTGTACTAAATGATATACGCTGTCAATTGCCGTAATACAATGCAGTTTACAGTTTTCGAGTAGTACATCGAATACAAGACGTTCGTGCAATATTGCAAATTACTTTAATTTAACGTTCTCGATGATTGCACGAGCAACATCGCGGTAAAAACATTTTGTGGTCAAATAACGGCTAATCCTGGCCAAGCTTCGAATCGAAATCGGTTAGACAATAGAAAACTCGTAAACGAAAATCAAACCAAACGGCAGTTTTGTGACTTACTGAAATTCGCATGTCTTATTAAATATTAATCCTTTTTTGGCCGCGCCGGACGTGTAATCCTCTTTCGAGAAGGGCCGGCCGTGGACACCGTTAAAACGCGAAAAATATCGTTTCCGGTTGAAACATTTGCGCCGGAAAAAAAAATATAGAAATTTTTGTTTTCCCCAATCCGACACTTAAGCACCGTATTCGGACGTCATGACCATTATTAACCCGTTGATGGTACACTCGCGAATATCCGCACACGGCCGCACTACAATAATAACCGCCGACACTGAGGTAGCGCGCTCGCTTGCCCGTCGCCGGTTGAAGTGCCACCGTCCGTGGCCGACCGTTCGCTGCCGGCCGGCTTCACTACCCAGCGCCGTTCAATCAGCGCGCGCTCGCGGTGGCGGCCGAAAGCTCTGGTCGTCTCCTCCTACTCCAGTGGCAACTCACGCGGCAGAGGTAGGCAAATCTAGTATGTTTCATGTCTGAAACGTTTCATTTTGATGTTTATTGCAAATTAATTATGATTTCACTATTAATCCGTCGAATGTTTTAAAAATAAAATTTGTTGTTTTTTTTAACCCGAATTTAAAATATCCACAACTCCTTGGTTTACTAGACTGACAATTTGAACCACTGTCGTACATTTGCTTTTATTTTCATCTTCTTATCGACAAGTACATTTATCTTAATCTAATAAATTAAATTTTAGTTTAAAGATTTCTTGTCTACTTCAATCTTCATGACATCCGCTACTTGATCTGCGTACGCATTGACTGCTTAAAACCATAATAGCTAATTGCCATTCATGATAAGTGAAAATATTAAATACTACAATAACTATAGGACTTTATCGGGCCAAAAATTAAAAAAAGTCGCCCCTCCCCGTCAAAATCGAGAAAACACCCAAAAAATTTACAAAATTTTCAACTTAAAACTAGGATGCTCTATAACTTTTTTAAAAATTGTCGAAAATGTTCCAAGTTTATATGAATTGTTCTTCAAAAATAGTACTATCGATAAACATTAACAAACCAAACAAATATCATAAACCCTTTCCCTTAGAAGGGATAGAATTTTTTTCTTTATTTCACTTTTTCAAGCAAAATTTTAGACATTTAGATGTGAAAATTAGACCGAAGGTAGACCTAAAATTGAACTATAACATACACAATTTCTCTCCATTTAAAAATGTATTTTGGAAAAAGTGGTCTTATAACAATTGTGCACTAAGCCGTCGTTGTATAAGCTTCGTGGTATTATTTTTAATTTAAATAATTTTGCCTATGAGTAAAAGCCATTTTAGTTCATTTTTCCGTTAAAAACTACCCATTTAACTTAAATCGGACCGATCATCGTATTAAAGCGATTTGACTTCTGAAAACAGATTTTAATTTGTCATGAAGTCTACTCGAGATCCGCCGGAGAGCTTTTTTATAGCTTATTCCTACTGTGTATAAAACGCGTTTGAACATTATATAAAATTCTATAATTTAAAAAAACTTTATTGCCATTATTCATAGTGTTTGAAGTAAAATGAAACATTTCATTTTGATATTTATTTGTATTCATTCCTTCACTATTAATCTGTTGAACTTAAATCCATTGATTGTTTTAAAAGTAAATTTGTTGTTTTTTTTAAACTCGAATTTAAAATATCCACAACTCCTTGGTTTACTAGACTGACAATTTGAACCACTGTCGTACATTTGCTTTTATTTTCATCTTCTTATCGTCAAGTACATTTATCTTAATCTATGAATTTTATTTTAGTTTAAAGATTTCTTGTCTACTTCAATCTTCATAACATCTGCTACCTGATCTGCATACGCATTGACTGCTTCATTTAAGTTGACTTTAATCTTAGAGGCATATCAATTTTTATTTCTACATTCAGTTGTAGGAGGGTAACGGTATCGCCACTTTAAATGTTTACACATTTAACAAGGTTTTCTTAGTGTTTTAAATATTTTCTTTTTTTGTTCTTCCGATCTGTTTTTGAATTTTTCTATTTTATTATTTGGATTTGAAATAGACATAACTTCTTATTTTTTTAACCTAACTGAATCTTCCATTTTCCCTAGTTCAGTAAACAGCTCCTCCGTTGTCACTATTGGTTCTCTGTCTAGTTCTTATTGAATTTCTAATGGTAACCCTACTACAATCATATTTATCCTTGATGAAAATGTCCCGGTTTTCTCAGCTTCCAATCATAATCTTTCTTTCGTTAAAACATAGTCCACCAAGGAACCGCCTAGATATTTGTAATTATAAGCTTTTCTTGCATTAAACCAGCCTTTGTCTGCAAATAATATGAGAAAAGATTTTTTTCATTCATACCAATCCTTAGCGGGCCCATCCATAAAAACTAAGTGGTTCAATCTTCTTAGTAACATTGTTTATCACTTGGTAATATACACCGCAGTAATTTATCTTCTGATAAACCAGCTAACACAAAGTCACCTTCCTCTTTTTTGACAATATGCACTAACCATTTTCTTGCTTTTGTCTTCATGCTTTTTTTTTGTTTGTTTCTACATGAAGGGTAACAATCCAAAACGTTGTATTTCCAAAAATGACAATTTTCAGAAAATCGAGTTTTCTGTTTCGACCACAATTTAAATAAATGTTTAAAAACTATGAACTTTATGGATGTAAAATGGCGAAAGGATTCAAGTTTGTAAATAAAATACAATTATTTTCACTTACTTAGGTAGTTTTTTACACTTTTTATTAAGTTTGATGCAAAACGTACTATTTCCGGAAATAGTACAGAAAAACAGATTGGAAATAGCGTAGTTTAATATTGATAAACAGATTTAATTCAAAATTTATTCTATTTAACTATATGTATCTACTAATCATATGTAATAAAATAATATTTTTTTATGTAAAAATTTACAATTTAAACGAAAATAATGACTGTAATATAACACACCGTATACGTTGATATCATACAATTCGAAATGTTATCATTAATAACCAAGTACCTGTTAGTTGAAATTGAACAGGTTTTTTTTTTTTAAGTAACCAGCAAATGTATATAATAAAACCTCTTTAAAAAAATATACAGATTTCAGTCAACTGATTTAATAATTTGCTTTAAAATTAAAGGCTACCAAACAAAAGAAGACAATAGGAAAATAGCACGTTTTGTTGTAGGAGATAACATTATTATATATTGATACTAAAGGAAATAGCACATTTTGAACCAACAACAAAAAAAAAACATATTAAATAATTTGTTTCGAGTTCTATTCAATATTTTATTTTCCTTAGGCTAATAATTATATTTTCTTTGTTGACATAATTAAAAAAAAAATGTATTGCCACTGTTCATAGTGTTTGAAGTCTGAAATATTTCATTATAATATTTATTTTTATTAATCATTTCACTATTATTCCATCGATTGTTTTAAAAGTAAATTTGTATTTTTTTTAAACTTGAATTTAAAATATCTACAACTCTTCGGTTTACTAAACTGACATAGCGCTAGCTTTTAAATCCTTTGTTTCTACGCTATACAAATGGAATAGAATAATAAAAGTGCCAATTCCTCGTTTAGTTTACAATAAGAAGAATCAATGTCTAACTCAATTTATTCAAATTTGGCAGTACAACGTTTTGGATTGTTACCCTCCATGTATTATGTACCGTGTAATTTAATTTGAAAAGTGGTTTTACAAAAGTTTTTTATTCTGAAAACAATGCCTACATACAAACCTTGTTAAATACAACAGCTCAAATAATATAAACAAATACAAAAGAATAATTAAATTACGAGTAACCGTATAAGTAAGTTTTAGTACAAAATAAAATAATAAGATAATAGTGATCGTTTTATATGATATTAATGACACACAACAGATAATGTAAATTTGTACAATTTGAAAAGAAAGAGGAAGTACAGGCCACGGCTAGAGGGCGCTATGGTTATGATATACAAATGTAACATTAAAAAAAAACACCTCACACCGGTAACGAAAATAATTATAAAATGTATAATTTAGAAACATAAAAAATATGTAGAAATATATCACACAACACCTTTCTCTCCAAATTGCTAGATAACAAAATAGATAATTCATTTTTATTAAGTCGATTAAATTGCAAAGTTAATAAGATATTAATGCTAATATTATATTGTAAATTGGACAGATTATGTTTTATATTGTAAGTTTTTTTGTAATATAAATTTGGTTTAATATAAATTAGTGTGTGACACATACATTTCATAATACTTAATTCAATGATTTTGGACATTGTTGAATAGGGCCCACGTTTTTCTTTTTAGTAAAAAATTAAAGACGTTTAACATTATTTAAAATTGTACTTAATTTTCAGGTCTCGTTTTTAAAGTAATTGACATTTTAAATTAAATGCGCTACAGTTGATTGGAAAATTGTTCTTGTAGTAAAATTATTTTTTACTTTTTAGTGCACTTTTTTACTATTTTTTGGAAAGGGTGTTTTTAGAAAAGCATGTTTTTAGAAAAGCATGTTTTTATAATTCATTTATTTTACTTTAACTTTTTAGTCCTATTAAAGGTACTTAATGATTAAAGACTTATCAACGAGGTCGGTGTATGTGAATGTTTAGTTTCTAATATTGTTCGTTGACACTGGTTTTGTGTTACCTAACATGAAGGTAAAAGTTAAACGGAAAATTTGCCATTTATTTTTTGGATTATTTGTAAATCAGTTGTAAAAAAAAAAAATAAATCATCTGTGGGCACAAATCTTTTGCAAATAGTATATCTGGTTCGACAAAAACTGGCAACTTATGGTATATACAATATAACCTTTGAGCGTTATATATACTAAAAATTGCACACACAAAGAAAAAAGTTAAGAAATTATATGTCTTTCGAAAATATATTGTCGGCTTGTGATTTACATATTATAAACTGCGAATTTTCAAAATAAAAAATTGTGCCAACAATTGCACGCACAAAAAATATAAAAACAAAATTTGATTCTACTAAAATAATCTTAGTAACTGAAATTTGAGCATAGAAAAATGTGTCAGATGCATTTATTACAAACATAAAATGTCGCATCTCAAAAATTATCTATGAAGGATCATATTTTGTTCACCCTTAAAAACGGACAAAAACCAAAGCAGTGACAATGTCTATCTAAACTGACTAGTCACTTAATATAATATAAAAATAATATTTAAACAGTAATACCTTTTCAGGTTAGATTTCATAAATTTCAAATTAAATTCAATAGGTAGTCTGTGTATTTGAAGAAACCCAAAAACCATTAAAGGGAAAAAATGCATCAATGAAATCAAGTACCTTCTAAGCTCCACTTGGAATCTAAAATGTACATTGCTTATTACTATC